GAGACTTCCCTCTTTCCCAATGTCTCCGACTCTGACTCCAATGCATTCAACCTGAGAACTTTGCATGCTGTCTCCGAGTTTGCAGGGTTGTTTCAAGGCAAGTGGACTGTTGAGACTCATCATCTGAATCATCCCGGATCAGAACACCTCCAAAAGGCTCTCGATGCTCTCAGTGGCATGGCTTCCCGGCTACAGAAAGCCTGCGATGCACGGGCCAAGGTTGCACTGGCCAACAAAGAGATTGACCTGACCAGCGCTGGCATCACTGAGCTTCTCCCGAAAAATTTGCAGCCTCTGGCACATGTTTTGGGGGTGCCATGGGAGAAGGAGATCGAGACTATCAATTCACTGGGCATGAACCACTTGGCCATGTTCAGTTCCAAGCTCCCACTTGCGGAGTCTGCCTTCGCAGCTGCCACTTCCAAGTCTTTGAAGGATGAGGTTTTCCAAGAAGTGTGCCAGAAGGCTGAGGAGTTCAGCCAAGCGTTCTCAAAGAAGTTTGGAAATGCAATTGATGTGGGGGCTGATGTTCACCAGGATCCTTTGAAGTCCTTTCTCCAGAAGTATGAACAAGTTGGACCATGTGTGGAGTCCTGGACTTTGAAAGAAGTTGAATGGGTCTTTGTGAAGGAAGCGGAGGACGAGATGAAGAATGATTTCGAGAAATTGAAGAAGGGAAACAGACAAGCCGAGGTCTTCTCTTCCTCACTTGACACCATCGCGAAGCACTCCAGCTCAGTGGCCTTGATCCAGGTCCTTGTCAAATTGGCAGTGTCCACCCAGTCCACGATCAAAGAAATGACCCACAAGACTCACGTTCTGGGCAACACTTTGCTTTTTGCTCACCTCTACCTTTCCTCTGGCCCTACTGCTACTGTGGCAGACGTGGCTGTTTCCGAGAAGTACAGCCACAAGTACTTTGCTGGCTTGGGTGTCAGCCAGTTGCCCAAGACCTTGAAGGAAAAGATTGAGGAAGTCAAGAAGCGTGTGCCGCAGCCCAGTGACAAGAGCAAGGACAAGGAGAAAAAGAGACGGGACAGTGAAGGGAGCAAGAAATCCACAGCCAAAAAGGCTAAGAAGTAGATCCAGTGTGTGGCTTCTGCCACAATTTTGGCTAGGTTTTGGAAATTCGGCGCCAAATGAATTTCCATGGGGGCACACTGCAGAACCCGCACCTTAGAGCCACCTCTGCTGGCCAGGTGTGTGCCTGTAGTCGGTAAATGTTTGTAGATCGAGAACCTGCCTAGACTGCCTAGGCCTAGACTGTCTGACTGTACACTGTGCATGTCATGTGACACTATAGAAGGGCACCGCGGCACCAGGGAGGAAACAAAACATGATGCAATGATGGATGTGGCTAATGTGACGCACTAGCTGACTCATTGCTTTGGCTTTGTTCTGTGATTGCCATTGGCATTGTTGCATCACATTGCGTGAAGTGATTGAAGTGATGTCACGTGTCTGTGACCTGTGACCTGTGTCATGAGTCATGTGTCCAAACGAAGTTTCCTTGAACTCTGTCAGAGGTATTGATGGCCGTGCAAGGCTTCGACGTGCAAGAGTTCGCCTTTCCAGAGGGAGAAAGTAGCTTGTACACCCGGTTGGCAGGAGCGGTTGTCGGGGTTAGTCAGCTCTGACTCTGACTTTAAATCTCATGACTCATGACACATGACTCACATGACTCAGTTTCTGGCACTCCGACTGAGACTCTATGACTAGGACTAGGACTATAACTTTAACTATGACTATGAGACTGAGACTAGACTATGACTATGACTATGAGTACACATATTGAGCTTTATCTATCTATCGTATTAAACTATATTTGATGTGGTTATTGCAATCCGAATTCACACCTCAAGGGCTTCTGTGACTTCTGTGACTCATAATTATTATCCAGTCGACAATCACAAAGGCAGGGGTAGGGGTAGTTCAGTTCATGCGACTTTGAGTGACTGACGTAATGACTCAGCCTGAGCCTATGATACTTGTGTCTAAGCCTAAGCAATTGCAATTGCAACTTCTGTGTTCTCACAGTTCAGCTCCGTTTGCTGTTTCCATATCTTGGATCTTTGTTGAACGATCACACATTGTCAGGAAATTCCATGACCACGTCTGTGGTCGGCGCTTGTGTTGTCGCCATCTTGATCTACGCGCTCAAGCTTGGAAAAGATGACAGGCGATTTGAATCAGGGTCAGACCATGGGGTGTGCAGAGTTTCAGGGTGTCAGTGATCAAGTGCAATTATTCAAGGACCAGGAGGTTCATGGTTTGTTGCCTGATTTGAAAGAGGTCTCATGACTCATATGACTCAAGAGCATTTCTCTCTCAGGCCGATCTGCGAACTACAGGAACGGACGCAGTTTCAGATTCCACATCGATCTCCCTCGGTGGAGATACCTTCTCCGGCTGACAGCGATGGTGACAGCGGTGGTGACAGCGATTCTTCTGCGACATTGATTTTTGGTCAAACCCGGTGAGAGCTGGCTAAAATCCTCAACTCCTGAGCTAAGTTCGATTCTAGGTTCTAGGCCTAGGCCCTAGGTTCCTGACCATATTGCATCCATCAACCCCCAAATCTTTGTGCAGTCACTTATAGACTTATAGACTGCAGGGAGGTCAGTCAATGTCGAGATCTGTATTTGGCTCTTGATTCGATAGTGCCAGTTTTCATCTGCTGTGTTTCTGTAGCAGAGCTGCGGTGCCAAGGTTCAAAGTCAGACTCATGAGTCATGAGTCACTCTGACCCTGACATGAGACTACCACTACGACTATGACTACTATGACTATGACTACCACCAAACTACTCCTACTACTACTGCTACTACTTTCTAATTTCAACAATATTGATTATTTGATAATGCTACAGTAGCTAGGTCCTTCAATCAGTTGTTGAACAACAAGTTGCCTGTTCCTGTAGGCCTGTACAGCCTGTACTGATTCCACGTTCTGGTCAAACAGAAAGCGGGGTCTGGCATAAAGCAGCAAAGCAAAGCTGAAACACTTGCAGTGTGGCGAGCGACGAGTGTTTCGTGAAGATGCGCGAAGAAAATCCGCACTATGAATGTGCACAAACTATGGACTACAAACTACAAACGTCTTTCAGGAGGGGAGGGTGAGTAGGCTCTAGGCGAATATATAAAAGATTCACATTGTATAGTAGAGCCAGTAGAGTCTGAGCCTTTAAAGTTAAAGGCTCGAGAGATTAGAGAGGTTCAATCTGTAGAGTAGAGAAAGGCTGAGGTGAGAGGTGCCCGCGTTTGTATGGAGTGCTGGATGCAAATCGTAAACTGTCTTTGTAACACCAGAAAGCAACTTTGGGATTAAGGAGCAGTGCTGGCAGTGCTGTCATGTCATTTAGTCATAGTCATGGCATCTTTAAGGCATGGGAAAGTTCCCAAAACAAAATTTTACAGAATCAAGTTTTGAAATCACAGCAGGCAGCCAAATCAAGACCAGAATCCTGTGGCGATTAGTTTCTTGTGAATTGTCAATGCTGCTCGCGGCGCTCTTGGTGTTCTTTCTTGGTGGAGTAGTTGTCGGTGTCATTTTGGAGAAAGTCTGTAGCCACTGCAGCCGACCACCTGGCCGAGTTGCAAAGGCCAGCCCTCGAAGCCCACCAGCCCAAGAGTATGTGAATGATGTTGCAGAAGCTTCGAACGATTCCAAAGTTTCATTGCCAGCAGCTTTTGCTGTGAACATGGCCCCTGGCATTTTTCTCAGCCGGACTGGGACCCACTATCACTTGTTTGAAACATGTCAGGCACTAAAAGGACGGTGCTGTCAAAAGTATTCTTTGTGTGGCCACTGTGCCAAGAAATATGATTTGGAACAGAAAAAACGAGCCTGATCTGAAATTCAGATCTATTGATGCAGTGCTCTTTTGCTAGTAAAAGGAGCGTTGTGTGCAGGCTGCTGTGGACGGCTGTGGAGGGTTCATGTGCAGGGATGTTCAGGGTGCATGGAGAGTGAGAGTAGTGTTAGAGTCTGCTAGAGATTGTGAATCAAGAATATTTGAGACATGGACTGCAACATGGATTGCAACATGGACAGTTACATAGGATCTTTTTAGACTGACTGTGCACTTTAGGGCAACAGGTAAAGAGGCTAACGGCTGATACAATTTCTTCTTTACTGGTAAACACAAAATAGAAACTTCACTGTTTGTCAGCATGTGTCTTCTACTTAACTGTTGACACCCTGTACGTCTCTTTTGTTTCTCCTGGGTGTCAGCAAGAATCAAAATTGCAAGAATCACTGTAGTAGCCGGTCACTCAAACTTACTCATAATGGGCTGGGGGTCAGATGTGGCAGGGTGAACTTTCGCCAATCTTGAGCTGAACTTTCGCCAAACTTTCGCCTTTTGCGGGGTAGAGTTTTGTGGCAAAGCCACCCCCCAAAGCAGGAGCAGGAATAGTAGTAGTAGTAGTAGTAGAAGAGTAGTAGTAGTAGTAGTAGTAGTAGTAGTAGTAGCAGCAGCAGTAGCAGTAGCAGTAGCGGTAGCAGTAGCGGTAGGGGTATAGTGGTAGTGGTAGTCGTAGTCGTAGTAGTAGTAGCAGCCGCAGCAGCAGCAGGTTATCTAACTTCCACAGCTCATCTAGCTTCTGAGTCACTGCCACCAGCTGTTCAGAAAGCAAATGAACATTCATACAAAAGTACATATTTAATCGTTCGCCAGATCTTTCGCCAAAAAACATTACTTTCGCCAACTCGAGAAAATACTTTCGCCAAATGAGATTTTGATATGTTCCGGGTCATCGTCATACACACTGCTGACTAGGACCTTTAGATCGACAACCATATATATATATACCAACACCTCCAACCACTCAACACGCCAGTGCTTTGCCGCTGCTTTCATCTGCTGTTTCCATCGTTTTCCACCCTCCACCATGCCGGTGCCCAAACACTTCCAAGCACTCCACGCGTAACGCGCCGGTCCCGTGCCTTGCTGGCTTACCCCCCCACCCCCTACTCGCTGTCTGACTCTGCCGAGGATCGATCGCGGTGGACCTTCAAGATGAAGAAGAGCAGCGCCGGATCGATGTGAATCTCATGCCCCGGCAGCACCTCCAGATCGGCGGCCACGCGACGCGCCACCTGGTGCTGCAAGTAGACCTGGCGAGTCTGGCGGGGTTGGGGCGGTGGTGAAGGTGGTGAAATCATGGTGTGTGAAGGTGAGGAGGTGCTAGAGACGTTCGGAATCAACGACGGAGATGCGAGAAAAAGCACATGGATCCAGCTGGTGGTCCATGAAATTTGGTCTAGACCGTTTCACGAACTACCTCGACTGCGTGTCTCTTTAGGTCAAGTCGCGGACATTTCTCCCCCCGTCCCTAACTAAGCATGCTACCCTGGGAGTCCAAGACTCGAAAGAATGGTCTTTCGGTGACCCGAAGAGGAACTTCCTTTACTAGATCATAACCCAAACACTCCGCCCACGACTATGCCCACGCTGACCCCTCAAACCACTCCTAATGTATACCAGGCACTCCATGTATGCCATATATGCCTACGTTGGGGTGGTTTTAGGGGTCAATGTAAGCATATATGGCATACATGGAGTGTCTGGGTATATGCCAGATCACAAGCCCGCCCCAAATCTCTGACCGACTGTGACGGGGCTGATCCCATACTCAGCTGCATTGCATGATCCGGATGGAGTTGATCCGCATGGCCTGTGCGTGATGATTCTCCACCTGCAGGACCTTCCTGGTGTATGAGACCGGCACCAGATTGCCTCGGCGCAGTCGAACCAGCGAGATCGTCGGCTCCAAACAAAGACCGGTCGGGCGTCCGGCATCCATTGAGATGCGGGAAAAACCACTGATCTACACCAGGGCCCCTGTAAGGGGTAGTTGATGGATACCCCTTTACTGCTAAGGGGCTATAAACATCTATAAACAAACACCCCCTTAGGAAGCCCTGATACAACTGGTTGGTTGCAACTCACTTGAGGAATGTTCAATCAATCCCCCAAGATTGACCATAAACATCTCTGAAACCACATGGTGCGTCCAGTAAGATCTCTCAACCCAGGTGAAACCATTGGTGTGATCGCCTATATGGGGTGGCCAAGTAGGGCCAAAACAAAATTAAGCAAAGGAACCCTGCAAAAAGGAACCGAGGAAGCCAACTGATGGCCAAAAAGGTCCCAGCAGGAAAAGGGAAAAACCCGAAACTTGGGTTGCACCGTCAGTGCCTCACTTAGGAGGCGCTGACCAAACAAACCAAACATCCACGACTGGAAGCAACAACCAGCCCCGAGGCGCCGGCTAAGCCGGGTGGTTGCAGCAGCCAGGATGGGGACAAGGCATTCAACCCTTCACCGGCGCAGCTCAGAAGGAAGACAAGTCGCCGAACCCCTATAGCCCACGACTTCAGCTCGCCGCCGCAGAGCAGCCCGAGCACCCCAGCTCCGGACCAGGGCGCACGCCTCTTGCAAGAGGGTGGCCCCGCCATGCCCACCACCACAGCACGGCTGATGTAGTCCAGCGCCTTTGCCGCTTCGGGCGCCCAAGCGCCCGTGGTCTCAATCACCAGCAGGAACACCACTTGCTGCGCAGCACAGACATCGGCTGTGGCAAGGTGCCGGCGTTTGAAAGCAGTGTACGCCTCCGCTGCGGAATCGCCTCCTCCTCCCAGGGCCTCCAACCGCTGAGGTGCCGTAACGGCAAAATCAAGGGCAGTTGGGCGTCCAAGAAAGGACTGGAGAAACACATCCGCAGGACGGCGACGAGCACTGCTCACGTCATCCGGCCGCTGTGGTAGCAAGAGGCCAGCTTTCTCTCGCTCGGGTCGAAGGCAACCTCGTTCGGCCCATGTAAAAACCAGGTCCCGCAAGGCATTGTGACGCAGGGTGCGCTCACCGCCAGCAGAACACATCCCACCATGGTACCCATACGTGTCCAGGACAGCGTCGCACTTGGGGCACCAAGTGTCTGCGCTGGCTTCGGGGATGCTCGTTGGCTGAATTCTTTCTGGGAGAGGCGCAGGGCCGCATCGATGGTCAGGTGTTGGCCAGCCTCTAACTGGTCATTGAAGGCGGACAAAGCAGCCGCGACACCCCCAGACCGATCCAGCCAATAGCCGGGATCAAGCTCCCCACACAGGGTTGCTGAGGCACCCACGGAGGCAAGGTACGCGCCTGCAGCGTGGGCTTTGGTGGAGCGAAGGCCCAAGCCAGCTTGGCTGAGCCCACGACGGGTGGCCTGGGCCCAAGCAGCGGCCTCCAAATGCAAGCCAGTGAAGGAGCTGAAGCATTCCTGTACCAGGTGGTTAAAGCGGTCCAAAGCGGACTCATGGCCAGCAGGCGGGCAGCACCGCATGGTGTGCACCAGCCGGGCGTACCCCGCAGAGGCTCGCAGCAACCGAAGGGCCACCTGTGGGTCGTCGAGCTCACCGATGGCGTGCAGCAGCTTGCTGGCAGCATCCACGCGGGCGGCTGCATGGGTCTCAAGGTGCAAGGGGCTGCCAACCCCGGCCCCCAGAAATTCAAAATCGGTGAGGACTCGGCTGGACCCATCACTGGCGGTGAGCAGCGAGGGAGCTATAGGCCCCAAGGCCGCAGCAGGAGTCATGCCCACCGTGATGGCCTCACACTTGGCAAGGTTCAACGCCAGCCCCACATCAGCAGCAGCGCGCTGAAGGTGAGCCAAAGCAGACGCCACAGCCTCAACTGAACCGGCAAGCACCCCATCGTCCAGGTAGAACATGGAGAGGTCCACCGCACTGGCCCGCAGCTCGGCGGCCAAGGGCTGGATCGCCGCAGCGAACAGCAGGGGCCCAAGCGG